AACGTAGCTGCACCTGCAATGGGCCGGTTGGACCACGAAAGATGCTGGATGATGGGTCTGACCATGATGATGTTGAAAGGGGAATCTTTAGTTGATGGTGGAATTTCTGTTATGTGAAAAGTGTGTGTGGTGTCCTGGTAGAACAGCAAAGTCTAAAGCCCTCACTGCTCTGGAATTTGCAAGATATTCTTCACTGAGCAAACAACATAAAACAGTCTAAAGCAATTTTGAATCGAAGGTTTCCAAGAAGCAAGATATGTTGTAGGACGATAGCCGTGATTGCTGAATCAACCTATTGAGAAATCAGTCCAACAGGAATTGATACACAGTGTTTCCCACCGCGAAGACCCATAATCTCACCCAAAGGCCTCTAGCAAGGCATCAGGGGCTGTGGATGTTGATGAGTTCCATGAGCTCTTCAGAACATCCAAAACCATTTCCAAAACGGCCCACCCCGAAAACATGCTGCCCACAGCGATGCTATCAATTCCTCCCAGGGTAGCCGCTAGCTTTCCCCGAAGCTGAGAGAACGCCGGGTTGTGCACGAAGTCGTTCACGAAGGCTTCTACCTAAGAAAGCAGAATGAGCCAAGGATTGATTGTGGACAGGTTCCCCCAAAACTGAAGGGTTATGAGTCCAAAGACCCAGTTAGTAATATACACCAAATGCAAAGCCACCGCATCCCGTTTCCTTCGTATAAGTCAAACAACCATTCCAAAGAATTTTTGACACCTTCATCATCAGACAATACTCAATTCTGAGTAGTCCCAATTGACTTTGAATGATTTGTTTCTCTGGAAACTGGACCTGAAGAAAAGCAAATGGTGAATGGTCCTCACTTTGTCCAAGTTACAGAGGGTTCCCCTTGAATGGGAGGCAAACGCCCATGCGGAACAAAATCATGCTGCGCAGCATCATCATCTGAGGCATAGAGCATGGCGTGGTCCTCTTCTGGCTCCTGCACCACATCTGAAGAAGGGCCTTGTGAGAGCGGATGGAAATCATGGGAAGATCCTGACGTGAGGAGAATCGTAGGGAATTGAATATCCAGGACAGCCCTAGAGATCTATCTACTGGTTGACTAGGCCTGATGCATTTTACATTCATCCCTAGCTAAGTGAACAACGCCTCCATGCGAACGGATTCTCAACCCAACCGAGCCTTCAGCATCAGTAGAAAACAGAATTTCTTCTTCCTGTGATTCTGCGGCTTTCTTTTGTGTCCTGGCAGGAGAGCTGGTGAAAGGACCTGGTGAGGTTGCAATTTCATTAGCCACTGGGGATTTGCACAAGCTGGGTGATTTATTTGCGAACCACTTAATGCATTGTTTCAAAACACACATCTCAAAACCACCAACATCCCCCAGATTCTTTGGAAAGATTTGTTGGTGTGTAGTTTGGAACAATTCTTTCTGCCGGCGCTACGCTCATGAGAATGTTGGGATTTGAAAAGCTAACAGACTGTGGAGCGCCTTTTCTCAGCGGTTGCAAGCTGTGCCTTCAATCTTCGAAGCCAATAGGTAGGGCTATTGGCTCATCATCCGACGAGCTGTCGCTGCCAAGATTGTTATCACCTCTCAAGCTGATATCAAAGTGTTTCACCCGGCGTGGTGGTTGCCACTTCCCCGGTTCATGGCTTTCCCGGCGCATATCGGGTGACCACCTGTAACTCAAGAAGTTGTAGACGTCAGGTTTTGGTTTCTGAGGCAATGTGCCTTGGCACCATCCGAGCAAATAGTGTGCTCCTTCAGTTGTAACTTCGCCAGTTCTTTGGCAAATAGGAACCCGTTTTTGAAGAACTTTTTGAACTTGCTCCCCAATGGCACGCTTAGATGCCAAACCACCAGGAGGTTGATATCCCTGCCTGATTTGTTTAGCCACTGAAGCTGGCACCACCACCATCGCGCGCTGAATCTCGCTGTCCGACAGCCAGCGCTTTGTGACCAGGAAAACATCTTCATCATGAGGTGTCCAGCGAGGCCCGTACTCTTCCAAATGATGTACATTGTCCAAAACATCAGCCCCCAAGTCTTTGCGAGCACAAAACCTCATGTAGTGAACATGTCGGAGACCTTTGAATGACACCCCAACTTGGTTCACAAATTTCTTCCAGCAAGATACCTGATCAAGTTTGTTTGCAACAGCGACGGAACCACGAAGCCGTCCCGATTTTTTCTGATTGATGGCCCTGTTGAATGCAATCCTCCAGCAAGGCAATCATTTCTGATGCGGATTGACATCTTTTTCCCATCAAAAGTCTAGTAATTTGACCAAAAACTTGGTCGACGTCGTCATGGGAATGAGCCGTCCTCAAATATCCCAAGGATGTGAATCTACACACCCCCAGGATTTGGATGAGTAGCATGAAGCACATGACAAAGCGATTCTTTCCCTCTCTAGCGCAATTGTCTTGCTGCAAATGCAGCGACAAAGCCATCGAAGAACAATGGCCAAACAGGTCTTGGAGGGAAAGGGACAGGGTCTCAAGTTGTGTCTCGGAATTCTTTTTCAAGTCCTCATCGCTCAAGTAGAGGAAGAGCCGAAAACCATGCAACCACGAGGCCAGCAAATGTGTCGCTGGCCTGTACAACTTGGTGGCTGCCTTGCTCAGCTTCGCATAGCCCCACTTAGGAATCCTCAGTTTTGCTTGATCCATTCCATCCTGGATCACTGTGATCACTGATGATGCCAAGTCAGAACCTGCAAATCTCTTGCTAAAGTGCAGTCCTTGCGAAAAGTAGTTGCGACTCAAGGTTCTGTGGTTCCAGTAGAATTGTCTATCGGACCATTGCTGTAGCAAATGTTGGCTATACAATCGAATGTTGATAGCCTTCAACTGCTTGGTTGTGGCACTTCTGATGCGTTTTCGTAGTTTGTGGCAAACATCACATTGACCAAAGTCCCCTTTGTCCCTGAAACGAAGATGAGAAGCAAAAATTGACTTCATCACCCTCCGGAAGGTAGTGAATGCAGCAGTAGCTAAACCAGCAGCTTCGCAGTAGGCTTGGTATTGAATAAACAGATCCATTGGCTTTTGCCATTCCAAGTAGCGTCTTGGTCCTGCAAAAGTACCCGGTCCACCATGGTTCACCTGAGGGTCGCAACTTATGTTGTGGTTGCCCCCCAAAAGACAATCAACACACTCTTTGGAACACAACAATTATTCCAGGGGATGATTCCTATTTCCATCCCACTTCACAATAAAAATGTTCTGCTACAAGGATGATGAGTGACAGGGTTCACGTCATAGTTCCGCTCGAGACAACCCAAGAAATTCTGTACATAGCGTTCCTGGAATTCCGGGTCAGCCGACATCGTGGACTCATAGAAACCTCCATCACGATTACCCGGCATGGTGAATTTAACCGGTAGGACTTCAGCACAGCTGATCCAAAGCAGCCAAAAGAACGACATGATGGAGGGCCACCTCTGGTTCACTGACGACCTTACCATCGACACTCCTAGGGATGGATGCTTGGGCTCTTGGAGCCGCCCTGAGTGCATGGTGAAAGCCGGGTCCCCTCTCCGCATGTTCTGCAGAGCTGAAGATCCGATTGAATACAGTCTCATGTGAGCAAACCTGCACACAGGCTGTTGAAGAAAATGCAATTTGTCACCTTCAGTACGACCTTTTGAATAGGCCCGTTTCTTGACTGGCGGTTCCACACAGCCATCTTCTTCAGAACTCGTTGCTAGTAAGATTTCACCATCATCATCATTGTCGCTCGCAGGGATGATGGCCCCAGTGTCTCCTGGTTCCGAGTCACTTTGGATCATCACTTCGTTGTCATCTCTATCAGAATCAGTTTGAAGCAGAACATCTTCAGCTCTTGAAAGTTGACCTGCTCCAAGTTCAAAGTCTTTGGAGTGTTCACTATTTGCATGGTACCACTCATTCAGCAAAGCCTCCTTTCAGGGACATAAGAACCGATCTGGGGTTGAAGAACCAGAGGATGTTGAAATCCTAGGCCCGATGATCTTACTTTGTTGATTCAACTAAAGAAATTTCTAGTCTAATGGTGCTAGAAGTCTCCCCATCTGTGATCAGTCGAAGAGTTCAGTGTTTTTTGCCCGACCAACAAGTCCTTGCGGGCTGCGTCCAGTGCAAGAAACCGTTCCCGTTCCCGTTGCACGTCCGAAGCTGCTTCAGCAAACTGCTGGAAGCAAGTCGCCCGCGAGCAGATGCATCTTCTTGAAAGAAGAGATGCAAGTGGCACCCTCGTTGGCATGGCTACTAGGATGCTGTTCTGCGGAGTCTCTGACTTGAGAATAGCTCAAAAGAAATGAATCAATCAGTTAGTCAGCCCGAAAGGCCCTCAGAACACTTGGAGGGAAATCATATCACCCTTTCAGTGATTTTAACACCTTCCTTCTTGATCTTTGCTTGTTGGCCCTTGAGCCAAACTCAACTCCGGTCTCTGAGTGGCGTCTTCCTCGCCCCAGTTACCTCCACATCCTGCCACCCCTCCACGAAGCAGCCAGCGGTCCTGGAAGAAGGCTTCTTCATCTTTGCTGCCGGCTTCTTAATGCCAGATGCTGGACGCTTCATGGCTATCCACCTATCCCTTTGGCTGTGGCGGGCTATAAATGGGCTGTGGGGATAGCGAGCCAAGCTCCCAACCAACACCTAATCCCTCTCACACATATCCTTCAGAAAGGCAAGGAACCAAAAGCTGAAAAGACTAACTTTTGCGAAAGTTCCTTATATATATACCTAGACCCCGCAAAAGACGTATTTTTTTCTGGTGAGGGCAATTTTCAGGCGAAGCTCAAAAAACCCACACAACAAACAGTTTTGGTGTCGATTTTTGTCACTTCTGCGTTGTTTTTTGTCACTTCTGCGTCATTTTGGCGTCATGTTTTCTATCGCGAATTTGCTGCATGTTTTTGCGTCATGTTTTCTGGCGAGACGGAAAAAAAAGACATCGTTTCAGGGTCCAGGTATATATAATATATACCAGGACCCTCCAAGGTTCGGCTGTTTTGGAACACTCACAGGTGCTACCTGGACACCGATCTTGTCACCAGGAAACACCTGGACTGGAGGGTTCTGGTATCTGAACCTCCCTTTTGCCCTGTTCCAGAAGACTTCTTTCTGAAGCACCCGCCGGTTTCATCCACACCGACCAGCGCCGAAAGGAACCAAAACGCGGTAAATCCCGCGTGGTGGTGCAGCTGTGTCGACGCGGTGGTATACCAAACGAGTAGCTGGATGGAACTCTTGACCCAAATGGCCAAATCCGCCACTGCATCCAATTCGTAGGTCTCATCCGCATCCTGACCGGCATCCCACAAGGACCCTCGGCTCGAGATGGCCCCCGCTGTCCGTGCGGTGAACGACCGGATCGAGTCGGAGAACGACGTCTGGAAAGAAACGCCTCCAGAGCTCGGGGTGCTTTTGAGTCCCATCCAGCGAGTGGATGTGGATAATGGGCACCCCGATTCCCTCCATGGATAGCACCGCTTTGTGAGCTGCTGGCTGTCTGGTCTTTGAAGCGAACTGGAGATGTTTTTGAAGCCAATGCTCCTGCATTTTGCTTTCGGCAATGTGTCAGATTGGTGTCACCATTCTCCGCAAAAATGAAGGTGCTGCAGGTGATCTACATCCGTCTGGTGCACATGTCTCCGTCTTTAAGGACACCCTTTCAAATTGGAGTCGACCTGGTCGTACCTCCGATCTATGTCTTTTAATGAGGTCATGTCTGACATGTCCCATCCCTAGGGCTCCAGTCGTACCTTCTCAGAAGGTACTTGGACCCTCCAAACCTACATGGCGGTGTCGAACACATCACCTGCTGAGAATGTACGACAGGATCCCTAGGGCATGTTCACCCATGTTCTAAGGTATAGAATAGCATAGTCCGTGCGGTCCTACGACTGGCGAGACGTACTGGCTTTAGCTTGGCTTCGTCGAACGGTCCATTGGGTCCGTTGCTGAGCGAACTGTTGAACCGCCAGGCACGGAGGTGCTGTACAAGACGGGAGGACGCAGGAATCATGTTCGGCAGCTTTGGCCGAACAGTGACAAAAGAGTGATCTATAACCTGGAGTTGACCTGTGAAACTACCTCAGAACATGAGTCCAGTCGTAGCTGTTTTTGGTATATTGGAGTCATGTCCCATCTATACTCAGGTACTTGAAGTCGTGTTCAGGCAGATTCGCATCATTCGCTGCTGGAAGCTTCTCCCCTTTGTGTGAAGCGGAAACATACATTCCTTGAATAGACGACGGCCTTTCATGAGGGCAGCTTCTTGAATCAGAAAATCACCAGGAGGACAAGCAACACAAGCACGAACATGCGTGCCAGCTGCAGTCGAAGTGGTCCAGCAAAACTCAGATTGATGGACCTCAAGAATCGCTTGAGAGTGCCCAAAGAACAAAACACAACCTGGGCCATCCAATGGGTGTCCAATGGACATCTCTAAGTGGTGGGTATAAGATCATCTAATATCCAATATTCATCGACATATGACATGTATATATTGTATTTATAGTTATATTATGTATAATATATACCAGGACCTTCAAAGTGACCTCTTTAGACTCTCTAAGTGACCTTGTACAGACCTAAGTGACCTCATCCTGGGATATCAAAGGGTCACTTTGAAGGTCCTGGTATTTATGTATAATATTGTATATATTGTGTTATATTGTATATGATCTATTATCATCTAATATAAATGAAACCCGAACACCGGTGAATTCCCCCCCAACTGAGAACATTCACATCGGGCGTCTGTGAGTCGCGGGGTCATCACCCCAATAGCAAGGGCCTCCAACCTAATAGCGGTGGCCTCCAATCTAATAGCAATGGCCTCCAACCTAGAAGCGATGGCCTGCACCCTACTTGGGATGACCGCCAACCTGATAGCGCCCCCCCTGTGCGGACTTTTTCAACCCACCATAATTCAGAATGAAATAGAATGAAAACTCTGCAAGACACCTGTAGCTTCTCACTTGACGCATGCGCATGTGCGTACAAGAAAGACAGAGAAGTTGTTTAAACAATTTCACCACCCCTAGTAGCGATGCCCTTGCTCCTAGTAGCTTCTTGTTCCCAGTGGTAAGGCCAGGAGCCCCTAGTAGCGATGCCCTTGCTCCTCGTG